TATAAAGCCCAGAAATGGATGAACATTTGCTTTCGAAACAGGTGCTTTAAAATTTAAGATCTAAGATGAAGCAACCATCGTGGGTATAAGGTAGGCTGCTCATCAATCTGTCTAATATTAAGCTTAGCTTCCGTCTAAAGAGATGAATATTTAAATATATTCATTAAATAAATTATAAACAAATTAGATTTTTAAGGACAGTCTTTACTTTTTATTATTATTAATATATATATATATATATATATATATATATATATATGTGTGTGTGCGTGTGTGTATGTATGTGTGTGTGCGTGTGTGTATTATTTCTCCCCAAGCAAAGCAATAAAGTCACTAAGACGCAAGAGTTACTGCGTTGTAGAGAATATGAAAATATATGTTATTAAAAAGTGAGGACAATAAAAGAACAAAAATTAAGACAACAAAATAATGATTGACATTACATTTAAATTTTTGAAGATCAAAGTTGACTGGGAAACAAGAAACCGGAAAAGGGTTCCACAAGATAGAAGAAACTGTTCTCAGAGAACTTACGCATATATCTAGTAATCACAACTGTAAAATGATGAGACCTAGCCGCCAATCTAGTACTGCGTTTAAATTCATAAAGTCTACGTACCATAAAGGGAAGTAAAATTTATTTCTGAAAGAAAACAGAAAATGTGGCACAATTTTTAGCCTTTTTTGAAAAGTTGGCCTCAAAACAGTGTAAACTGATTTTATGAAGTCAGGCCGTACAAAGCCTGACCAGAATAAACGATATAAATCCCAGAAATGGATGAACATCTGCTTTCGAAAAAGGTGCTTTAAAATGTATGATCTAAGATGAAGCAAGCATTGCTGAAATGTTTCCTGATAGCAATTATCATTATGAGAGCAAGTACATAATTTAAACTTCAGAAACTTACATGAGCTCCCGGAATATTCACGTAATAAACGAATGCCCATTTGATACACACAAATATATATTATTTTTACCATTTCACTGCAAACAAGGCAATAAATCCACTCAGACGCAAGGGCTTATTGAGTGTTACACAATATGAGTAAAAAACTCTATTAAGGAGAGAGAACAAAAAAATAAGAAGACTAGACAACTACTGACATTGCATTTATACTTTTGAAGATCAAAGCTGACTGGAAATCAATAAGCCGGAAAAGAGTTCCACAAGCGAGAAGTGCGATAGAGAAAATTACAAGCATAGAATTTATGACCGCTAATCTGGTACTAGACTTTGTCAGAGCAATTACCATGTAAGTATATATAGAAAAAGTTACATAAAAGTTACATTACGGCATAGGACAGCAACTAATGCCGAAATGTCAAGTCAGGACCAATAAAAATGCACATTCTTTTTTGGATATTATTAAGAATCTCTATATAACAGGAGCACCAGAATAGGTGTGGCGGTATTTTTCAAAGCATAGAAGAATGGTTGACATAAATATGTACAATATATAGAGAAAATTGTCTAATACGATAATGGACCAAATTTCTTAGTAGCAGACCTTTAAGAATTTATAATAGAGCACTCTTATATAGGTAATAATAGTTATATTGTGAATAAATGCAAGAGGAAGTAAAAAGTGGTGAAGATTATGAGAAATTGAAGAACAGGTAATAGAATGAACGATGTGCTCGAAGTACTTCTGTTTTTGGAAAATCATTTTCTGACACCGGAAATGAGAAAACAATTTAAACAAATTCCAAGAAAAAGCAACTCTTCGCGGTGGAAGAATAAATGAAGAAATGTCGGAATAAATAAAAACAATGACAAAAGACTACCGAGGAATGGTATAAAAGTAAAAAAGTAATCATAATTAAAGCAAGCAACACTTATTTTTTTTATTTAATTTTTTAATTCTCGTAAATACGCTCAAAGCTATATGTTGTCCGTCGTGATAACACCCGGAATCCCAAAACGACAAAATAATTATCTGAAATTAGCAATACGGAATGACTAGATCGACTTCCGCATGGTTACGATCACTCTACTGACTTCAATGTTCCCATACTATTAATTCTATGATAATTGATTAGATTCGCGAAATACAAATGTAGATACTGACGTTTTTGAGAAGATTGCTCATTTTACAGGGTTTTATTTAGCATAAAAGAATCGATTACCTTCACAAATAAATAGAGGATGATAGAGAATAAAAAGCAAAATAATGAAAGGAAGAAAGAGATTAGATAAAGAAGAAAAAGAAATCAAGGAAGGAAGAAGGAGAGAGAATAATGAAAAAACGAGAGAAGAAAAAGTACTAATAAAGAACATTAAAAAGGAAAGAAAAGTTCATGAAAAAAAAGGAAGAGACTGAATGAATAAACAGACGAACGAAAGATGGACTAAGATAACGTCATAAAGAAAAAAATATTTAAAAAAAACAAATAAAAAAGATAAAGAAATGAATTGAGGGAAGGGAGAAAGAGAGGAAGTAAAAGAAAGAATGCAGAAAGAAAGGAACAAGAAAAATATGGAAAAAGAAAAAGAGGACGAAGGAAAGAAAAAAAAATAATGAAATAAAGAAAAGAAATACATAAACGAAATAACGAAAGAAGAGAAACAATGAATGGTAAAAAGGGAAAGAGAGAGAGGCAAGAAATGAACGTGAAGGAAAGGAACTTACAAAGAAAAAGAAGAAATAGTGATAGGGCAGTGAGAGGCTTGACATGTTTCGACTGTGGGGAAAGGGGTTGTAGGGAGGAAAAACATTGAGGAAGAAAAATGGAGATAGGAAAAGAGAGAAAGAAGCAACGAGAGAACATGAAAGTAAAAAAAAAAGGATTATACTGAATCAACTGCTGCTATTCGGAATGGGAGTTCACTTAGAAAAAGAATCTATCTATCTATCTATCTATCTATCTATCTATCTATCTATCTAGCTAGCTAGGTAGCTAGCGAGCAAGCTATGTAGCTCAGTATGTCCCAATCTATTCATCTCAGAAACTGGATCTATCTATCTATCTATCTATCTATCTATCTATCTATCTATCTAAGAATGTTCATATCTATCTATCTATCTATCTATCTATCTATCTATCTATCTATCTATCTCAGAATGTTCATATCTATCTATCTATCTATCTATCTATCTATCTATCACAGGATATTCATATCTATCTATCTATCTATCTATCTATCTATCTATCTATCTATCTATCTATCACAGGATATTCATATCTATCTATCTATCTATCTATCTATCTATCTATCTATCTATCTATCTATCTATCTAGCTAGCTAGGTATCTAGGTAGCTAGCTAGCAAGCTATCCAGCTCAGTATGTCCCAATCTATTCATCTCAGAAACTGGATCTATCTATCTATCTATCTATCTATCTATCTATCTATCTATCTATCTATCTATCTATCTATCTATCTCAGAATGTTCCTATCTATCTATCTATCTATCTATCTATCTATCTATCTATCTATCTATCTATCTATGTAGGTAGCTAGCTATGTAGGTAGCTTGCTAGCTATCTAGCTCATTATGTTCCAATCTATTCATCTCACAAACTGAAGCTATCTATCTATCTATCTATCTATCTATCTATCTATCTATCTATCTATCTATCTATCTATCTCATTTTGTTAATATCAGTTCATAATTTATTCATTAATTTGTAAATAATCATTTACAATAGGCATTTATACTAATGGTACAATTATAGACTTCTGTCTTAATATCATGTCGGGTAAATATGATAAATTAAAATTCGCAGCTGTTCTCGAAAATGAACTCTACTCAATGGAAATGGAAAAATAATCTTAACGCCTTCAAGGTAAACAAAGGCTACCATCGAACCATCATTGAGAACGTTTCCTAAATTCTACCAACATGGCTAATGCTAGCCTCCTGGAGAGCAACTCTTTACGCCTTCTTGAGATCACTCTATCCACTGACATCAAGTGAACTTATTAAATTGAATCCATTGCTAGATCTACTGATAGGAAATCTGGTTCACTCCTTTGTGCCAGACAATTTCACTTGTCTTGTACTTTTATATATTTACCATTCGTCGGTGCTTTTAATATTGCTGTCACCTCTGGTCTGGCTCTCCTGGTACTTATCTCTATATTCTTGAATAAATCCAAAGAATTGTCTGTAATATAATCGATTCGAATCTGACATCACGGTTTCAGTTACGTTCCACTGCTGTGACGTGTTTTCCTTTGTCTTCTATATAAATATTTTCATGACAATTGTTCTGATAAGTTCTTGTCCTTTATGCCTCAACTGTATGGTTTTAAACGTTCTACTAGATTGGCTATTAGGTCTCACCCTTTTATTGTTGAACTAACTGGATACAACCGTATGTTCTATTCTAATAGTTTTTTTTCTAGCACTTCTCGCCTCTGGAAATCTCTTTCTTGCTTCCATTCCGCGTACATTCTTCAAAAATGTAAATCCAACGCCAATCACAATTTTGTGTCTTCTTGATTCCAGCTCTTTTATTGAATCGATTGCTAGGTCTACTGATAGGATAGTTGATTCACTGTTTCGTGCCAATTTCTCTATTTCATATCTTGTAAGTGTACCATTCGTCTGTGCATTGAATACTGTTGCCACATCTGATCTAGGGCACCTGCTGTATCTCTCAAGATTCTTGACAAAATCATGTAATATAATCGATCCTGACCTGGCATCTCGACTTCAGTCAGATTCCCACCGACATGATGTGATTTCTCCTCTGTCTTTTAAACCGTTCTTGTTTGTGTCTAGACTACGTGTATTTAAGAGTGTTACCAGGAAGGCAATATGATGTAACCGTTTATTGAATTACCTGGATAGAACCGCCAGTTCTATGCTAATAATGTCTTCTCTCGTATTTCCGGCCTGTGTTTGCTTTCCTGTCGCCTACAATCTTCAAAAATTTAATTTCAACGTCAATCGTCATCTGCCTTCGGGAATCTTGTTCGTTTATTGTCCTTTCATCACCTCTTCTCAGTAAAGCGTTGTCATTCACTTTCACTCCCTGTATCTCCCGGCGTGTTAGTGACATTGTCGCCTTGCTTGGGATGAAATGATGGATAAGAAGGAAGGAGGGGGATGTACAAGAAAGGATCCAGAAAAAAAGGAAGAAAGAAATGGAAAAAGGACAAAGGGAGTAAGAAATAAAAGAAAGGGAGAAAGGGAGGAAACATCGAGGAAAAGAAAAAAAGAAAGAAAGAAAGAACGAATCACGAGAAATAATAAAGGAAAGTTTAAAGGTATGAGAGAAAAGAAGGCGACAAAGAAGAAGAAGAAGAAGAAGAAGAAGAAGAAGAAGAAGAAAATGAAAAAGAAGAAGAGGAAGGGGAGAAGAAAGAAATCTAGATAGAAAGAAGCAATCAAATAGAAATGATTAGAACAACAACAACAAAAAAAGAAAAACAGCAAAAGAAAGATTGACTATGCCAGTTTCGGAAATTAGAAAAAGAAAAATAAGAAGCAGAAGAAGACAAAGGAAAAGAAAGAGAAAAAAGAGAAGTAGTTGTAGTAGTAAAAGAAGAAGAAGAAGAAGAAGAAGAAGAGGAAAATGAAGAAGAAAGAGAAGGAGAGGAAAGGGAAGATAACGATGAAGAAGAAGGTAAGAAAAAAGGAATTTACATCGAAAGAAGCAAACCAAAAAAAAAAAAAAAATACGGAAAAATTACTGAAAAAGCAAAATAAAAATCAGAAAAAGAAAGAATGACTATGTGAAGAAGAAGAAAGAAAAGAAGGAAAAGAAAAAAGAAGAAAGAAAAGAAGGAAAAGAAAAAAGAAGAAAAAAGAAAAAGAAAAAAAGAAAGAAAGAAAAGAAGCAAAAGAAAAAGAAGAAAGAAAAAAGAAAAAGAAGAAAGAAAAGAAAAAAGAAAAGAAGAAAGAAAAGAAAAAGCAAAAAGACGAAAGAAAAGAAGGAAAAGAAAAAAGAAAAGAAGAAAGAAAAGAAAGAAAGAAAAGAAGAAAGAAAAGAAGCAAAAGAAAAAGAAAAAGAAGAAAGAAAAGAAGAGAAAAAAGAAGGAAAAGAAAAAGAAAAAGAAGAAAGAAAAGAAGAGAAAAAAGAAGGAAAAGAAAAAGAAAAAGAAGAAAGAAAAGAAGAAGGTAACAAAAAGGAAACTACATAGAAAGAGGCAAAGAAAAAACTTTAAAAAACTAATTTAATCAAAAAACCAAAAAAATAAAAAACAGAAAAAGAAAGATTAACAATGCCATAGATATATACTAGTGTTTTTAATCCCTTTGGGGGTGGCAGTTTCCTTGAGTAGCAAAACACAGTTCTAACGCCCACAAATACATAGACACAAGCCTAACGCCCCCACCTCCCAAAAATATATAGTCAACCTTTAATTAGATATTCTTCGTGCTTGTATTGCATGTCAAATGTGTATAATTGTTGCATAAATAGGATGAACTGTAAAGAGAAGGCAAAACACTTTTACTACAAAGGGTGTGTGTCATTATGCTATGCTTCGGATGTACCACTGCCGTCCTCTGGTTGTCCACTTTTTTCTCACAATCCTGGATCTTTCCACTGCCCCTGGTGGGTATCACCCACTTTAGGAATCACTGACGTATACGATCTAAATATGCTGAAATTTGCGTTTTCTGTAAATTTGGCCCTGATTGTATATTTTTAAGGGACTTTTTCTGTATCTGTTCTGGATTTTAGAATCTTAAGTCAACCTTGCCCAATATTTAAAATCGCTACAATAGCCTTCGTTTGCAACATCAAGTCGCTAAACACTTCCATAAGGCGAGATACCCGTGCAAATATGGCAGCCGTCAGTCTCACAATAATAATTTTGCCTGGAAATTATAAATTGATGATTGATTTGTAAGGCTATGTTTGTATTAGCTGTAACAACCCTCGCAGGAACGACAGAGACCGGCTGCAACGGGGTCACCCTTATGCACCGTCCTCTGATGTATTCTATCTTCAACGGCATGCCTAAGTTTGCAAAATACTATCGACGTTCCATTAAACACATCCTCGGCGCAAAAATAGTGCTTTGTTTCCGGTACCAGTTCTAGTAGAGCGTTATATTTTCTGGATACGTTCGTCCAGATCGTTCAAGTAGCAGAGAGTGTGTAGCCGGAGCGGAATGAAACTTGTGGGTATCTAGACATAGACCAGGACACCGTTGGTTATTGGCAGTCTACTTGATGTCTAGGACGCGAAGGTGGAAAGCGTTTGAGGCGCCTCTTGTCTGGGACAAAGGCTGAGAAAATACTCCACTAACATTCAGGATGCGTGTCGCTAGATCTTTGTACACTTAGAATGGTTCGATCAATCTGACGATGCTCGATCAGTCTATTGATCATGGATTCTCGGGTGACACTGTTAAAGCCGAGAGGGCTTTGTAGAGAATTTTTAGATTACATGAAACAACTGATCGGTGATAGGAAAATTATGCACCGATGTTACTAAGTTAATATATTTGATGGCATAAAAGGTACATTGGCATTTTAGAAGCACCCCTTTTCAACAATACATATTCAGGGGAAAAAAAAATTCTCTACAGGGTGTTCGGAAAATCAAGATGCACTTATATTTTTATTAACTGACATGGTTCAGTATAGAATGCAGGAGAAGTATATGAGTGAAAATTATAAACAACTTCGAAAGTGCCGCCAGTTAGCATCAATACCATGGCCGGACATTTGGCCGACGAAAATTTGGCCGACGAAAATTTGGCCGATGGACATTTGGCCGAGAAACATTTGGCCGAGAAACATTTGGCAGGCGGACATTTCATCGAAAAGTACAAATAAAAATAATAACAAGCAGTACTTTAAGTATTTTAATTAAGAGATTTTTAAGGTAGAATAGGACCAATAATTAACGCTGAATTTCAAGTGATTAAATTACTAAATTTAAATTTAAAGGTAAAAGGTTTTTTATTTCAATATTTATTTATTGAATTTAATATTTTTAAAATTTGTGTGTATTTGGGTAAAAAGTAGCACCTAATCATTTAAATTCGTATATAATAGTAAGATAAAAGCTAGTTCTTCCTTTAAGATAATGATCATTAAAAGTGAAATTGAAGAAACTTTCATATCGTAAAAGCTTAAGATTTTTGCTGTAGTAAAATGGGCTTTTTCTCAAAGTAATTACAGTAATATTTGGTGTAAAATATGATATATACAGAATAGATTTTAAAAAAATGCTTGTAAAATAAAGCGAAAAATTATAAATAAATACAGTAAAGAAATATAAATATATGTAGTACATTACGATAAAGTGTGTGATATACATGTAAGTACGCCACTACTTTTTCGGCAAACTGTCCATTTGGTTAAATGTCCGCTGGCCAAATATCCGTCTGTCAAATGTCCGAGTAACCAGAGATTTGACTACGGTCAGTTAGATGAGAAGAAAATATTGAACGCTTATTGACCAACCCAGAACTGACAAAGTCCATTTGAAGACGATCTATGCAGCTGAATGTGCCTCTAACATCATTACACAGAATTATGAGGGCAGATTTACGCCAGTGTCCCTTCTTTTTTCGTCTTTTATGTGTCGTGTTCTTTCAGGACGTAGGTGATCATGTCTCTCCACATCCTCCTGTGATAAATAAACACATTCAGATCCAGAATTATTCCGACTCAATAAACCTCTGGAGTAATTTGAAATCAAACCCTTACTACCAGGATAATACGATAGACCTTCTTATTATATAATGCACTATTAATAATATAGCATATATATATATATATATATATATATATATATATATATATATATATATATACACACACACACACACACACACACACACACACACACACACACACATATATATATATATATATATATATATATATATATATATATATATATATTCGGTTAAATGTCCGTAGGTTAAATGCTCGAGTACGCCTCAATACAGGCTTGGGTCCTTTTCATTTTATTTCTGAGCACCGCCATCAGTAGTTCGCTTGCAATAGACTGATTGAATTGTTATCGCTTTTATTCAAGTCATCCAGTGTGTGCGGGCGATCTAAATATACTACAGATTTTGATATTGCTCATAGATAAAAATCTGGTGAACGCGGGGGTACACCTCTTTTGAAATAATGTCCGGGTACCCAGAGATCTGACAACGGTCAGCTAGCAGAGAAGAAAATATTGATCGCGTAATGAACAATTCATAAGCGAGAATGTCCATTCGAAGACGATCTATGCAGCAGAATGTGTTTCTAACATCATTACACAGAATTATGAGGACAGATGGTGAACTTGGGGGTACACGTCTTTGGATTTAATGCGGTCTGCCAAAAATTTCTGCAAAAACTGCATAAATCTGTCAGATGTCTGGGCAAAAGCACCGTCCTTATCGATTTCTCCACTTGGCATCTGATCGATGAAAAAAGAATCTACGAATAATTATTTATTGTTTTCATAAAAAAGAAAATAGGTCAGCAATTCAGCGTCTGGAAATTTTAACCCTTACTCCAAACATGAAAGAGATGTCATATGCAAATTGTGAGCATTCTTGGAGGACCCAATCTTATAGCTTACGAATTAACGTAATCCGAGAGATTGAACCATATTTAGTCGCAAATAAATGCCACATCCAACGCATTAGCATTACTCTCTTCGATAAAGCGGTTAAATCATCTACAATAATCCAGTCGCTTTTCATTAATTTCTTAATTTTTCTTTGATTGCCTTATGAGCGCTTCCAAGATTAATATCATGCTCCTGCGATAAACTTCGCAATCATTTTCTTGGACTCTGCTGCAACAGACGTTAAAGACGAATCAAGTAGTTTTTGTAATATGTCTTTTATCTTCCCTTATTTATTTATTTCTAAACAAATCAATATCTTATAAACATTTCTCTTCATAATACTTTTAAAATAATTCAGTAGAAAGTGTTCTTGTATTAAATTTATGGCAATTTAATTTTTGGCGATTGGTTACTCGGTTTCCGTCCATCGATACTGTGCGTCTGGAAATTGTCGAATTCTAGCGGTTGCCATCGCTTCCTTGCTTTTTCGGGGTCGGGGAGGGCAAAAAACTCTAGGCTCAAGCCCCAGGTGTCCTCATCTCAGACAGTAACTCTCCTTCGGAAGAGTGATGATTTTATAACCCGATACTTGAGGCGTCCCCAAAATGGTAAGTGCCCAGGAGGCTTGGGCAAATTTTTCATGGTATTGCCCGTAAACGCACTCTAAACCTTTGTCACATCAGCTAGCGACATCAGGGCACTGAAAAATTCCCTTGCTTCTCGGACCTTTCGGCTGAGAGATCAAAATGGCAAGATAAACCACTTCATGGCCAATACTCTGTCCGTAACAAACAAGTTGATGTACCCATCAGTGGCTACTTAGTCCAGGGTTGAAAGCGGAAACTGAAGATTTTATCCTTGCTGCACAGGACTAATGCTTGTTAACTAGGAATTATCAAGCACATATACCAAAATATTGTGTCAGCCCAAAATGCAGATTCTGTGATAAATATCCAGAAACGATTGATCATCTTGTATCAGGTTGCACGATATTGGCACCCACTGAGTATAAAACACGGCATGACAGAGTGGACCAATATCTGCATTGGAAAATCTGAAACTTCTACGGGAAGGAAACTGAAAGAAAATGGTATGAACACCAACCAGACCCGGTTACGGAGATAGGACCTGTTACAATTCTATGGGACTATACAATACACACTGACAGAACAATCAAAGCCAACCGCCCAGATATTGTTATTAAAGACCACAAACAAAAAAAGTGCCTCCCTATTGATATGGCAGTCCCTGCTGACTGCAATGTATCTTTGAAGATATTCAAAAAGCTGTTGAAATACAAGGACCTTGAAATAGAAATCTCAAAAATGTGGCACATGGGAACATCAACGATCCCTGTTGTAGTTGGAGCCCTAGGATTGGTTGGAAAAGATTCCAGTAGACTAATTGAAGGGATTCCTGGAAGTCCATGGCTCAAAGAGATACAAAAAATTGTTCTGACAAGTACAGTCTACACTTTACGAAGGTCTTTATTTATGTAATTTTTTTTTTTTGTCAGCGGAAAGTGTCATGATGCCATTTCTAACCTTAGGTCCCTGGTCGTGACCCGGAAAGAAATGTGTAAACGCCAGAAATCAAAGAAAATAAAAATAATAATAATAATAATAAAGACCACAAACAAAAACGATGCCTCCTTATTGATATGGCAGACCCTGCTGACTGCAATGTATCTTTGAAGATATTCAAAAAGTTGTCAAAGTACAAGGACCTTGAAATAGAAATCTCAAAAATGTGGCATATGGGAACATCAACAATCCCTGTTGTAGTTGGAGCCCTAAGACTGGTTGAAAAAAGATTGCAGTAGACTAATTGAAGGGATTCCTGGAAGTCCATGCCTCAAGGAGATACAAAAAATTGTTCCGACAAGTACAGCCCACACCTTACGAAGGGCTTTATCTATGTAATTTAATTTTTTTTTTCTTTTTTTCTTTTTTTTTTTGTCAGTGGAAAGTGTCATGACGCCATTTCTAACCTTAGGTCCTTGGGCGGGACCCGGAAAGAAATGTGTAAACGCCAGAAATCAAAGGAAATAATAATAATAATAATAATAATAATAATAATAATAATAAAGCAAATGCAATGTACCAACTGCAGAAACGATGTTAAGATAAGCTTTTCAAGATCATAAATCTGCCTGTGCCAAACAAACCCCGTACACATCAGTGGCAACATTGTGCTGGGTAAAAAGCTGAAATCGTTTTATTTTTGCTGCTCAGGAGAAATACTTGCTAACTAGAAATTACCAAGCAAACAAAGTGAAAAATTGTGTTAAATATCCAGTTGACCATCTTGTATCAGGTTGCACAGTGTTACCATCCACTGAATATAAAACTCGGGATGATAGAGGGGGCCAAAATCGGAAATGGAAAATATACCACTTTTGCCGGAACGAAACTGCAAGAAATTGGTATGAACCTCACACAGCACCAGTTACAGTGGTAGGGCCTGCAACAATTTTATGGGACTTTACAATACTCACAAGCAGAACAATCAAATCTAATCGCCCAAGCATCGTGATGAATGACCACAAAAACAGAAGGTGCTTTCTTATTGACAATAATGTTCCTGCAGATTGTAATGAATCTTTGAAGATCTTCAAAAAACTATTAAAATACAAGGATCTTAATGTGTATATCTCAAAATGTGGTACATGCGGATATCAATAATTCCAGTTGTAGTTGGAGCCCTCGGATTAATTTGAAAAGTTTCCGATAGACTCATGGAAGGGATTCCTGGTAGCCCATGCCTTAAGGAAATACAAAAAAAGTACTCACAAGTACAGCTCACTCATTACAAAGGGCGTTATCTATGTAAAATGTGTGTGAACAAACGGTTTTTTAAACAAAAATGATCAGTGGAAATTGTTATAAAACCAATTCTGACGTTCGGTCTTTGAACCGGAAAGAAATGAGTATACAACATAAATCAAGGGCAATAATCATTATTATGTTGTTACCCCAGGCAGGGCTCTCATGGCTTCTGGACTTAATTGATCAGAGGTGTTAATATGAACACTGTTTGTTTTAGAGAATTCAGATGTTTGCAGTAGATTGCGTAGAGCAGATTTGCTTGACCGTTGTCTGACTTTAATCAGTGAGCCAAGTCACCTCGATACTAATGCATTGTACATTTCTGCTCATGAGCGGGAGTAGCAGGCGAGAGCATCATTTAGTTTTAAGGTTGAGGCTGCAAAGCGACATGGTAGATCGTGATAGTTAGAACACCCTCAAGCGGACGCTGTTACCCGACTGTCATTATAAATTGCGACGACTGTCTCTAGTCATATCGGATGGACGAGTCAATGGGCAACATTTAGTTGCTGTGAAGGTCGGTCGTCTTTCTACACAACATACATTCTCCTTAATAATATTTTCTTTTTCCCATATTTTCGCACAATTAGTAATCCCTTAGGTCAGTGGTTCTGAAATGGTGCGCCTGGGCGCAGTGGTGCCCCCTGGAAGAAGTTTAGGTGCCCGTCTGGCATTACAGAGAAATATGCGTCCAGATATAAGAAATAAATATATTTACTTTATTATATCGTTGTAACCGTCTCGTTCATATTTATATAAATTCGGCTTTTCTGCTCTCGCCACAATTGAGTGCAAAAAGAAACGAACTCTTCAATGTATTGAGGAGGAAATGAGAGTTTGCCTATTAAATATAAACATTGAAGAAATCGCTAAGACTCATCAGGCTCATGTTTTTAATAGACACAAAAGTGAATAAACTAAAGGTATCTTTCATTATTTCTTTTCTGCAATATTTGACATCATTATAACATTTTTTCCCGGAATTAGAATGTAGAGCGTCTACAATTATTGGTAGGATTTGAAGTGAACTCCGACTTTAAAAAGTTGAAGAATCACTGCCTTACATCTTCGTGGCTTTATTGTCTTCCTTGTGGAAGTGAAACAATTAAGAAAAGATCATTAGACGCCTTATATTATATTCTGGTACCCTTCTCGTTCATATTTATATAAATTACGCTTTTCTGCTCTCACTAAAATTAAGTGCAAAAAGAAAAGAACTCTTTAATGTATTGAGGAGGAAATGAGAGTTTGTCTATCAAATATACGCCCAAACATTGTAGAAATCGCTATGACTCATCAAGTTTAATGTTTCTCATAAACACAAGAATGAATAAACTTAACGTATGTTTCATTTTATATTTCTTATTTCATTATTTCTTTTCTGTAATATTTGACTTCATTATAAAATACTTTTCCGAAATTTGTATATAGAGCGTCTACAATAATTGGTAGGATTTCAAGTGCGCCCCGATTTTATAAATTTTGAGAATTCAATGCCTTACATCTTCGTTGCTTTATTGCCTTGCTGGTGAAATTGAAACGATTAAGAAAAGATCTGAGCCAAGGTTACAACGTTTGTGTATCCGGTGAAGTTAGATGGCTGTATAAACGAATTGTAATGCAAGAAAACTTTCCAACTGACTCTGCGCAGAGGCTCTCCAATCTGATTTTTTATTTCTATTTTTTTTCTTTTTTTCCAACTTTGTCAATGTCTCGAGTGATTATTTTTTTTTAAAAAAAAAGAAGTTTTTTCGGATGTGTCATGTTCCAGAATTGTGGTATGGTAATCTCTTTTGTAATAGAAAAAATCCCTCCAGAGATCAAACAAGTTTCTGTGTGACACGCAATTATCTTCTTTTTATGATATATACAGAAATGGAACCGAATTTTTATGGCACCCACAACAATCCATTCTTTTTACTATGACACATGAAAATTTGCAGTCGTCGTTGGTGAAAGAGTAATAAAAATGAAAAATGTAAGCAATGAAAGAAAGAACAGTATCAAGGGTAAAAAAAAGAAATAACGAAAGAAAGAAAGAAAGAAAGAAAGAAAGAAAGAAAGAAAAAAGAAAGAAAGGTAGGCAGACAGAAAGAAAGAAAGAAAGGCAGAAATAAAGAAAGAAGGAAGAAAGAAAGAAAGAAAGAAAGAAAGAAAGAAAGAAAGACAGAAAGAAAAACTGAAGTAAAAAAAAAAGAATGGAAGAAAGAAAAACAGAAATAAAAAGAAAGAATAGGAGTAAGAAAGAAATAGTAAAGAGTGAGAGAAGGAGGAAGAAATAACTGATTAATATTGAATGAGCAAAATGTGCGTGAGAGAGAGAAAGAAAGGTGAAAAGTGGATAGGCTTTAAGAAAGAAACAAATAAGAAAGAAAGAAAAAAAATGAAAGAAAAATCAAAAGTAAGAAACAAGAAACAAGAAAGTAATGAAAAATAGAGAAAAAGAAAAGGGAAAGAAAGAAAAATAAAATCCGTAAAAAGAAAGAAAAAAGAAAATAGGAGAAAGAGATAAAAAAGACAAAAGAAACATTAGAAAGAAAGAGAGAAAAGAAATAGAAACACAATCAAACGGAAGAAAACAAAGAAGGAAAAAACAAAAGTAAAATGGAAGATGCAAAAGAGTCTAAATAATCAACAAGAAAAGAAGAAAATGAAAATAATGAATTAAAGAACGAAAAAAAGAAAGAAAAAATGAGAATAATAAGAAAGAAAAATGAAAGGAAAATCAAAAGAAAGAAAGAAAGTGAAGAAAAACAGAAGAAAAGGAAAAAGAATAAAAAAAGAAAGAAAAAAGCAAAGGAAAAAGTAAAAAATCAGGAAATTGAAAATGAAAGAAACAAAGAAAGAAATATTCTGAAGAAAGCAATAGTAATGTAAAGAATAGTTGAAAAGAAAGAAAGCAAGGAAGGAAAGACAAAAGCAAAATGAAAGAAAGTAAATAGATTAAAAAATGAGCAAGAAAAGAGAGAAAAAGAAAAGAAAAATAACTCATGAAAGAAAGAAAACGAAAGGAAAATGAAAGAAAGAAATAAAGAAAGTATAATAAAAACAAAAGAAAGAGGAAAACAAGAATGAAAATTAAAAGAAAAAAAAGAAAGAATGATACAAAGAAAAAGTGTGAAAAGAAGAAAAAAGAAATTCAAGAGAAAAGAAAGGGGAAAGTGAAAAGAAAGAAAGGAAAGGCCATAGTAAAATGAAAGAAAGAAAATAAAAAAAAAAATGAAAAAATCAGCAAAAAACAAAACAAAAGAAAACTAAAATAATTTCCAATTTGTGGAAAATTCTGCTCTGTAGTTAAAGAATCCTGTTGAGCATTTTGATTCCACTTGCATTATCGTTTCATCAGTTTTTTACCTTTTTTTTTGGTGTATGTGTGTGTGGGTGGGGGGAGTTGCTAGTCGCTCAAATCAACGCCGAATTGGTTAAGCATCTCATTTCACACGGCCTTATTTCGGATAAACGCTCTGGAATTCGTTTCTCAAAGTCCTGCACCGAAGTTTTAACGGTTGTTACGGAATTTGATTTTCAGGCTTTAGATAAGAACGAGTTCTAGCTTTATATATCATGAAGGCATTCGGCACGGTCCGCCATGCTGACCCTTGCCCACAATCGAAAGATAAAATGGATAATCAAACGAAAGAAACTAAAAAGTAAAGGAAAAAAATAAAACATAAAATTAAAAACCAAGACCTGAAAAGGTGATTTTATATTCCCGCCTTATAGGTGTCACAAAGCCAAAAGAATCGGGCACTTAGTAAGGACCGAACTCGCGACTTAATTATAATTCTTCTAGCGCGACAAGCTTGCTGACAATTGCTCCACATCGATGTGCTTCAAATAGTTATCTAAGCGTAGCGTTGATGTAGCCAAGGCTGAAAGTAAGGGGCTGCCAGAGAGAATCGAACACACTACTTATTCGTAATTAATCCTGCTAGACCAGCTTGTTAAACAATTACACCACGTAGGAATGCCAAAAACAAGAGCTGAAAACGAACGAGCAAGAAACGAAAAGAAAATGTTAATCAACCACAGGTTGAATATTCTTTATAGAAATTCCCAAATGCGAAAACATCCAAAATCCAAATAACATGCCACAAATGGAAACTTTCAGAAAAAAACCAGCAACGTGGTCTACGTTGGCGCCAGTATTTTGTTAGCGATCGTTACAGCAACACTTTCGATTGTGGATTACTTAACAGGTGTTTCGTGCTCAGTAAAGATATTCAAAATGTCAAAAAATCTGGCATTCATATATATATATATATATATATATATATATATATATATATATATATATATATATATATATATATATATATATATATATATATTGTGTTATGGTCATATTTTTGTAGATGTACACAAAGAACATTATTGTTTTTTTACGTGAAATCTTTGTTTCACCACTTAAATATCCGGGTGAACACGACAAGACTAGCGTCGTTAACTAAATCTGCACATAGACAAAATGTATTACATTTTATATAAAATTTCAGGTGATTGGAAATTCAAAGTGAAACATTTATTTCATTCACAGTACTAGATTGTGCTAGTTCCACGTGCCATACCTCTTTCGGATGTCGCAGTTATCTCCCTTTAACTCAACACTGTTGGTCAAGTGGATAAAAGCGCTGGTGTTCAGATGGATTCAGTAACTTGACCCAAAGAGTTGTGAGTTCAATACCTGGCTACTGCAGTGGTGAAAAAAAAAACTTGGAGAGTTGATAAAACTGAGGCATCTGGAAGAGGCATGACACGTGGAACTAGTATTTTTAGGCTATATGTTATTTATATAAAACTACCTTCAGTGTATATGCATAAGCTGTGTCATGAAATATAAAGAGATATCATATTTATGCGTGGGTTCCACTGCCGAACTGACCCATTTTATAAATGTTATATACAAATTAAAATTAAATAGCCTGTGTGTGAAAATCCCCAAAAGACTGAAAACCGAAGTACATCCGGTTCTAGGAGATTCGGTTAAAGAATTTCCAAGTGTACATTATATTTGAAAGACTGTGTGTTAATGCAGTATAGGTAATTTTTTTCACAGTGAGGTTCACCCGGTACAAGGCCCTTCGGCCATTCGTAGTAGAGAGTTGCTGATTAAGAGGTACACATTATAGTGTCAAGATAACCGTTGACCTTAGACTTGGACAGATTAAGACTGTAGTAATCAGGGATGCAGGATATTGGGAATCGGTCCCATAAGGCAGCAGTTCATGGGAAAAAGCTGCTTCAGTGGAACTTACATCTCACCAATGGAATACAAAGGGATTGAGGATGGTTCTCTATCATGTGCAACCTTCCTTGTCGTTTTTTTTTACTTGTCCTATTTTCCTTAAAACTTCCCCGTTTCTTACATGTTCTGTCCATGTCAGTCTTAGTATTCATCAGAACCACTACAAGTAGCCATACTTGATTATTTTACAATAATATTTACCCGCTACAAAACCTAGGAGCCACTCAAGGTAAAGGGTTACTGAGTAAGTGGCGAAGTATATAGGGATATGTTAGGAAGGTAACAGTTGACCTCAAACTTGAACAAGTCAAGACTGTAGTGATCAGGGATTCAACCTCTTCGGAATCGGTTCCACAAGGCAGCAGTTCATGGGAAGAAGCTGCTCGAGTGAAACTTACATCTCACCAATGGAAGACGATGGGAACGAGGGTGGTTCGTTACGATGTGTGTGTTATGTTGACACACACCTACACGTATACAGGGTGTCCCTCCAAAATTGACATCAATTTGTAGAATAATAACAATTCTCGCTCAAATGATCTCAAGTTAAATATTTAATGTTTAAATTTTTTTTCAAATGTCCTAACTGAATATATATATATATA